ACATATGTCTGAGATTTTGCTGCCTGTGGTTTCCTCTAAGATTTTTATGGTTTCCTGTCTTACATTTAAGTCCTTTAGCCATTTTGAGTTTATTTTTGTGTATGGTGTTGGTGGTCTAGTTTCATTTTTTTTTTGCATGTATCTGTCCAATTTTCTCAACACCATTTATTGAAGAGACTGTCTTAACTCCATTGTATGCTCTTGCCTCCTTTGTCAAATATTAATTGAGCATAATGGCTTGGGTCAATTTCTGGGTTCTCTGTTCTGTTCCATTGGTCTATATGTCAGTTCTTGTGCCAGTACCAGGCAGTTTTGAGGACAGTGGCTTTGTAATATAGCTTGATATCTGGTAGTGAGATCCCTCCTACTTTGTTCTTTTTTGTCAGGATTGCAGCTATTCGGGGTCTTTTTTTATTCCATTTTTGGAGAGTTCGTTCTAGGTCTGTGAAATATGCAGTTGGTATTTTAATGGGGATTGCATTGAATCTATAGATTGCTTTGGGTAGTATGGACATTTTAATGATGTTGATCCTACCAATCCATGAATACAATATATTCTTCCATTTGTTTATATCTTCCTCTATCTCTTTTTTTTCAATGTCCTGTAGTTTTCCAAGTACAGGTCTTTTACCTCCTTAGTTAAGTTTATTCCTAGGTATCTTAATTTTTTTTGTTGCAATGGTAAATGGGATTTTTTAAAAAAATTCTCTTTCTGTAAGTTCATTATTGCTATATAAAAAAGTCATAGATTTCTGGGTGTTAATTTTGTATCCTGCTACATTACCAAATTCATTTAGACTTAACGTCTAATAGTTTTTTGATGGAGTCTTTAGGGTTTTCTATGTACAATATCATGTCATCTGTGAATAATGACAGTTTTGTCTTTTTTTCCCCCCAATTTGGATGCCTTTTATTTCTTCTTCTTGTCGGATCGCTATGACTAGCACTTCCAGTACTATGTCGAACAGGAGTGGTGAGAGTGGGCATCCCTGTCTTGTTCTTTTTCTTGGGGAAATGGTTTTAGTTTTGCCCTTTGAGTATGATGCTGTAGGTTTGTCATATAAGCTTTTATTATGTTGAGGTATGATCCCGCTATTCTCACTTTGCTGAGGGTTTTTATCAAGAAAGGATGTTGGATTTTGTCAACTGCTTTTTCTGCTCAATTGATGTGATTTTTATCTCTGTTTGTTTATGTGATGTATCATGTTTATTGATTTGCGGTTATTGTACCAGCCTTGCAGCCCTGGAAAAAATCCCACTTGGTCATGGTGTATGATCTTTCTAATGTAATGCTGGATCCGATTTGCTAGGATTTTGTTGAGGATTTTAGCATCTGTGTTCATCAGAGATATTGGCCTAAAATTTTCTTTCTTTGTCCTATTTTTACCTGGTTTTGGGATGCTGGCTTCATAGAAAGAGCTTGGAAGTGTTCAGAAATGTTCTTAGGATAGAAGCTTGTCACAGAAGTTTCACTGAAATTGTCTGGAGTCTTTTGCCATCCAAGCTCAGCTCTCCTGTCATAGCCCTATATAGAAACATGTCCCCATACAGTTAGCACTGAGAAAAGATGGAACAAGCAGGCGTGTGTTCCCTGGCCACATCCATACTATTAATTCCCATCTTCATACCAACAAAGAGGGGTATAGGCGTTCTGGTCATGTTAATCAACAGGTAATACAGTCATTTTGAATTAGATCTTAACAAGCACCCAACATCAGCCTTATCCACTCCTAGAAGATCCACATATTTAATTTGGTTTGGTTTATAAAAACTATAAAGTCAGTTTATATTTTCTGAGACCTTAGTAGCTGTGCATGTTTTAGAACAGTCAGCTGAATTTATGCTGAGCGAGGGCAGGAAGGTGGCTGGAGATTGAAAGTTCACTTTGGAAAACCTCCTAAATACAAACTGATGCTTAGGTATTTGACACATTTATTTCATGAGAGAATATTGATTTCCTGTGTTAAAGAAGAATTAATGAACTTCAGAAATGGAAGAAGTCTGAGATATTAATAATTGTAAGCCCTTCTCTTGTGATTAGTAAGTGCCAGCATGCTTCTCTGTTCATTACATAGAGGAGCTCATTTGATGCTCACATTAAGCTCATGAAATGAATATTATTATTATTATTGTTGTTGAACAAAATGACTTTACTATCCCCTTCAACTTTAGACTTTTTTTTTCTGACTCTAGACGTTTGACCTCCATTTTTATAGAGCATTTACTTGAGAAAACTTGCCATTGTAAATTCTTCCTCTGCCCCTTTGAGACGTAAATCTTCCCCACAGTCCACCCCCAGTGTCTTGCCAGTTTTACAACTCCAGGGGGGTCTTTCTCCAGTACAGGGAACCATCTCTTTGAAGTGTAATCCTCAATGATTAGCGTTCTTATCTCCAAACTTCTATGGGAGGCTAGGAGCCTAACATCTGAACATGCTTAGGTCCAAATTGCAAAACTATTTCCTGTAATAAAGATATGAGAGAGATTTTTCCTTTGGATGAAGCCAATTATCAGGTATGGCCTATAATCCCTCCTAAGGTCCTCCAGTACTTTTTCATTGGCTCACTCCAGCTCTTAAAAATTCTATCACCCTTGCTTCAGCAGAGATGAGTTCAAACTTAGTTCTGGCCTCTCTCCCCTATTGGAATAGCCATGAATAAAGTCTTTCTTGCCTGTTTAACTTTGGTGCAGTGTTTACTAGGACATTATCCATGGTTTATTGATTAAGAATCTGAGGCACAGAGGGGGGTAGGGAGTTGTGAGAGGGCAATGGGGGGAAAAGGGACATATGTAATATTTTCAACAATAAAGATTTTTTTTTTTTTAAAAGAATATGATGCACAGAAAAATTGAGTAACTTACCTAAGGTCACACATTAGTGAGTGGGATTCTAGTCCTACCTCTTCACAAGGTGATGCTGTCATTCAGGGCTTTCTGTCTGTTTGAATTCTTCCTAGAATAAATATTACTGTGTTAAAAGTATTTTCATGCCATTATTTTATTTGATCCAGCCCAATATACTAGGCAGAACAGGTATTTTTATGTCTTTACTTTATAGTTGAGAATTTAGGGAGGTAAAACACCTTGCCTGAATCACACATGAGTTTAGGGCCCCAAGGTTTAGGGTTCAATCCTCACTGCACTCTTGAGCTGTGAATCTAGTTAGAACCAGGTGCTGGGGAAGGGCTAACTCCCACCCAACTCTGGAAGCCTATGTCCTTTCCAGAAAGTACATGTGATCCTCCCTTCCAAAAGTCACCCAACTCCCCTCTTCCACCCAACAGTTTCCAGAGGCCTTTCTTTAGTTCACAAAAGCCATCGCCAGCCCTGGCCAGCTTGGCTCAGTGAATCGAGTGTCAGCATGCGGACTGAAGGGTCGCAGGTCTGATCCTGGTTGGGGGTATATGCCTCGGTTGCAGGATGGATCGATCCCCACTGGGGGGGCGTGTGGGAGGCAGTTAATCGATGATTCTCTCTCATCATTGATGTTTTTGTCTCTCCCTCTCCCTCCCTCTCTGAAATCAATAAAAAAATATTTTTAAAAAAGCCATCTCCAGCCTTCTCTACCCACATTGCTTTCCTTTGAACCAGCTCCCTATAATGATTCTGCCTTTGCTTGGCCTCTTAGTACTCACTGAAGAACTCCGATTTATACATGGACACCTGCCACTTTGCTCTGTGAGGCCACAAGTATGAGCGCCAGCCTGTTTCCTACGTGTGTCTTATCTCCCAAATTGACTTTTCTTCCTTCCAAAGGACTTCCCCATGTTAACATAAGGAACACTCAAACCTGTGAAATTTTTTTTGTGTGTGAGTTTATTTTAGCCAAACTGTGGACAATTGCTGGGAAGCAGACTCTCAACGGATTGAGATGATGCTCTGGAGAATGGCAGCTTTGCACCTTGTTGTATACATTACAATCAAAAGAGGAGACTAAGTGGGTTACATGAAATCCATTGGTGATAGATCAGGGAGGTGGGAGAAAGCAAAGCGGGGAGACCTCTGGGAGTGGACAAAAAGTAAAATGATAGACACATCTTTTATTTAAGTGGGTGCAGGATAGTTAACAGACAACGATTAACTCAAGAACAGTGAGGAGATTTGTGGTCTCTGCAGAGTGGTGCCTGTGCTTTCAGGGGGTCACGATAAAGAAAAATTCCTTTGATGTTCCAACCATATGTTATTGTAGATGCAAAAAGACAATAGGCTCAGTTAAGGTAAAGACTGACCTCTGTCAGGGAAGATACTGGCCTAGGACATGACTACCCACCATAACCAGTTTTTAGTTTAAAAAAGTTTTAATTTCAGACCATCCTTTGTGGTTACTTTAGGTCTCTGAGTTTGCAAGGCTGCCATGCAGGCTTTCCCTGAGCTAGTCAGGTTAGCATGTGGTCCCTTTCGTCCACACCAAACAATCCAGGCTGGCAATGGGGGTGATGTAGGTAGGAGTGAAGGCAGAGAGGAATCGGCACTGAAAGGGTGTTGGGGAAAGAGGATTGTGTGGTAAAGCTTCCACCAGAGAAGGGAACTAATAGAACACAGTCCTCCACTCAGGTCCAGGGCCGCCCCTCCTCTGGCTGCCGCATGTGATTTTGGTCTGGTTCATTCCTTCCTCGGGCCTTCCAATCAGACCACGAGTAGTCCTTTCAGGCCGTGATATTCTGGGAGTGTGAGGCTTGTGTTTCCCAGTGGGAATGGAAGTAGGCACCCCTTCCCTGCTGGGCTCACAGGGAACTCGGTTTCCTTATGGGCAGCATGTCTTGTAAAGAAAAGCAGAGCGAATCTTGGAGCTTCATGAGGACTGCAGGGGCGCGCTTCCCTTGAGCACTGCCCTGACACGTGTCCAATCCAATTGTCCTAAATGCGGCACGCTCTGCCCTCCCCATTCCCCAGCACACCCTCCCCCAGCACACCCTCCCCCTGCACACCCTCCCCCTGCACACCCTCCCCCAGCACACTCTCCCCCAGCACACCCTCCCCCAGCACACTCTCCCCCAGCACACCCTCCCCCAACACACCCTCCCCCAGCACACCCTCCCCCAGCACACCCTCCCCCTGCACACCCTCCCCCTGCACACCCTCCCCCTGCACACCCTCCCCCAGCACACCCTCCCCCAGCACACCCTCCCCCAGCACACTCTCCCCCAGCACACCCTCCCCCAACACACCCTCCCCCAGCACACCCTCCCCCAACACACCCTCCCCCAGCACACCCTCCCCCTGCACACCCTCCCCCAGCACACCCTCCCCCAGCACACCCTCCTCCTACACACCCTCCCCCAGCACACTCTCCCCCAGCACACCCTCCCCCAGCACACCCTCCCCCTGCACACCCCCCACACTCCTCCCCCTGCACACCCTCCCCCAGCACACCCTCCCCCAGCACACCCTCCCCCAACACACCCTCCCCCGCACACCTCCCCCAGCACACCCTCCCCCTGCACACCCTCCCCCAGCACACCCTCCCCCCAGCACACCCTCCCCCTGCACACCCTCCCCCAGCACACTCTCCCCCAGCACACCCTCCCCCAAACACACCTCCCCCCAGCACACCCTCCCCCAACACACCCTCCCCCAGCACACCCTCCCCCTGCACACCCTCCCCCAGCACACCCTCCCCCAGCACACCCTCCTCCTACACACCCTCCCCCAGCACACCCTCCCCCTGCACACCCTCCCCCCTGCACACCCTCCCCCAGCACACCCTCCCCCAACACACCCTCCCCCAGCACACCCTCCCCCAGCACACCCTCCCCCAGCACACCCTCCCCCCTGCACCACCCTCCCCCAGCACACCCTCCCCCAGCACACCCTCCTCCTACACACCCTCCCCCAGCACACCCTCCCCCAGCACACCCTCCCCCTGCACACCCTCCCCCAGCAACCCTACCCCAACACACCCTCCCCCAGCACACCCTCCCCCTGCACACCCTCCCCCTGCACACCCTCCCCCTGCACACCCTCCCCCTGCACACCCTCCCCCAGCAACCCTACCCCAGCACACCCTCCCCCAGCACACCCTCCCCCTGCACACCCTCCCCCTGCACACCCTCCCCCTGCACACCCTCCCCCAGCACACCCTCCCCCTGCACAACCTCCCCCTGCACACCCTCCCCCAGCACACCCTCCCCCAGCACACCCTCCCCCAGCACACCCTCCCCCTGCACACCCTCCCCCAACACACCCTCCACCTACACACCCTCCCCCAGCACACCCTCCCCCAGCACACCCTCCCCCTACACACCCTCCCCAGCACACCCTCCCCCTGCACACCCTCCCCCTGCACACCCTCCCCCTGCACACCCTCCCCCAGCACACCCTCCCCCAGCACACCCTCCTCCTACACACCCTCCCCCAGCACACCCTCCCCCTGCACACCCTCCCCCTGCACACCCTCCCCCTGCACACCCTCCCCCAGCAACCCTACCCCAACACACCCTCCCCCAACACACCCTCCCCCAGCACACCCTCCCCCAGCACACCCTCCCCCTGCACACCCTCCCCCTGCACACCCTCCCCCAGCAACCCTACCTCAGCACACCCTCCCCCAGCACACCCTCTCCCTACACACCCTCCCCCAGCACACCCTCCCCCTGCACACCCTCCCCCAGCACACCCTCCCCAGCACACCCTCCCCCTGCACACCCTCCCCCAACACACCCTCCCCAACACACCCTCCCCCAGCTCACCCTCCCCCTGCACACCCTCCCCCAGCACACCCTCCCCAACACACCCTCCCCCAACACACCCTCCCCCAGCAACCCTACCCCAACACACCCTCCCCCAGCACACCCTCCCCCAGCACACCCTCCCCCTACACACCCTCCCCCAGCACACCCTCCCCCTGCACACCCTCCCCCTGCACACCCTCCCCCAGCACACCCTCCCCCAGCACACCCTCCCCCTACACACCCTCCCCCAACACACCCTCCCCCTGCACACCCTCCCCCAGCACACCCTCCCCCTGCACACCCTCCCCCAACACACCTCCCCCGTGCCAGCGAGGCGGGCTCAGTAGCTTGGCCTGGGGTCTATTACCTGGGAGCTCTGTCTCACACGCCCCATTCGTGACAGGGACAGTGTGTGGCCGGGGAGCTGGCAGAGGAGCTCCTCCTCGGGAGGAGGTGGAGCCAGGCACCTGAGGCAGAGAGCGGAGCCGGAATTTTGTTCCCGGGCTAATAATAGAACCTTCCGCAGAGGAGTCTGACTCACTGTCCAAGTCCGTCAGAATCTGCCCGGAGCCGGCGTGGAGGCAGAATTCGTTTCTTTTCCTTCCTCCCTGGCATCCCCCGTGTGGACCCATCAGTTACTCCAGGGTTGTGAGCACCGAGAAAGGGAGCCAAGGAGGTTATGGGGCCATGCCCTACCTCCAGAATGCTGCCCCCCCCTCCGGAATGCTGCCCCCCCTCCGGAATGCTGCCCCCCCCTCCAGAATGCTGCCCCCCCCGACCCTCCGGAATGCTGCCCCCCCTCCGGAATGCGGTCCCCACTCCCGCCAGCCCACTCCTTAGGCTATCTAAGGGTAGCTTCTGGCGAAGCTGAATGTAGGATTGCCTCATTCCGCAGCCCCAGCCCATTTCCTCCAGGCGATGGGGTCGAATGTGCTGTTAGTCTCTTAGGCTCTTTAGGTGACAAATCACAGGTCCTGTTCACTCTCATGACCAAGACGGCCTTAAGCGTCCCTCAGCTTGACTAAAGCGTGGACAGGCTTTTCCTGACGCTAGTCCCTGGCTTTAGAGAATTTTACTGTCAATTCTTTCTCTGTCCCTTTGAGATGTAAATGTTTCCCTGCCTCATTCCGGTTTAACAACCCAGGAAAGGACCTGAGAATCCTGTCTCTGCGATGTGAACATCAGGAAGACAGTGTCCTATGTCTGTTTCTGTGGAAGGGTGGGGGCCTCGCTTCAGTGGTGGGGGCGGGGAGGCCCTGGCTCCAGATTGTAATACTACCTCCTGTCATGAAGATACCCGAAGTTTACCTTTCCTTGGGGTTAGGCCCATCACCGAACACAGATGGCTAAGGTTCCCCCATCCGAGCTCTTCAAAATGCACGGCCTGTTGTTTCCACCTAGCTAGGTATCCGTATTTCATTTATGCTGGCAATAGTATCAGAATAAAATCAACTTCTGTCAGCTGGCTGTATTTAGTGTGATTTTTTTTCTTTAACACTCATCATGGATGGATATGATTTCCCTCAAATTCCTATCTTCTGTTCTTTGCCGTTTTGCAACTTATTATGCAACCAAGTCATACATGACTGAAAATGTGTGTGTGTGTGTGTGTATGAGAGAGAGAAGAGAGAGAGAGAGAGAGAGAGAGACCTTTCCCACTCTACTAAAATGTTCTTGGGGAGCAATGTATCTAAGATGTTTGCACCACATACCGCCTTACTGTAGAGCCCTGTAGGTGCTCAAGCCATTTGTAGAAAACGTTTGGCAACGTTTTTCATCCAACAGAAACAATGACTTTTAGTTCTCCAGAAACATAGCAAGATTTGAAAATATTTTATTTGTATTTGTATTGTTTTCTGTCAGCAGAAAATAATTTATTTTTTTTTTTTTTTTGCAGTGGCCAAGAAGAGAGACTCTGAATTCCACTCATCTCTTCCTATGAAGATACAAAGTAGTTTGGGGTAGAGGGAGAAGCTGATTTTAAGGGGGAGGCTGTAAGTGGATCTCCTCAGATGAGGCCTCAAGAAGAAAATCAGGACTCGGGTGATGTGGAAGACATTCTGGAATTTAATGGAGAGCACATAAGAATGAGTAGAGGCTCAGGGGGACTTCCCTTGTGGGTTGCACCAAGGTTTCTGAGTATGGAAGTGGGATTTTTCCTTTCTCACTTAGCTTGAGCCCTTTGAGAGCATCCCAGTAGCAACTGTTGTCTCTCAAACTTCATCATCCTTAAATCCTCTAACTGTCCTATGCAGTGTCAAAACTTGGGAGAAAATTAAGTCTTTGTGTAGTTTACCACTGTCCATATCATGTATTCTAATACCTACATAGGAGAGACATCTACACGCAGAGGAATGAAGACATGCCTAAGGTCTTTCTCTGTGCGTTCAGTTTATGACAGCATCAGGACGTAGATTCCAAGTCTCTCAGTCTGGTCTCCTTTCCTGTGTGCCATGCTGCCTTTCTCCCACTGAGTTCAGGACTTTGTAAGATCTGGGAGCAGGAGCTGGAGGTTGGAGGCAATACCACCTCCTGCAAGAAGAGGTGGGAATTAGGCTCTTCTACAAAGCCACTGCTGTCAGAGCATGCACTGTGGTGGTGGAGAAGGCCTGCAATGCAAATGAAAAGGAAACACATCATGCATTTTTAAGGCAATGTTGGGTATTGGTGCTAATAGAAACTTTCATATCCCACCTGTGGAAATGCTTCTCACTACTATAAGTAATATTTACAATTGTTATCAGCAGCAGCAGTCATGTGACTGGCTTTCTGCCCTTCTCACCATGAAGTGAGATATCTGGAATGTTCACCTCTGTTTATACTTATAAAAGTATCCCTATATTTTATTCTTATTATTTTATATATATTGCTGAGCATTGCTGTAGAAAATTACAAAACCGTTGCAAACCCATGTCCTGCACCTTGAACTGAGCCTCAACATTATTCACCTATTCAATTGCGAATAGATGTTTATATTCATAATTATTTCTCATCCTTTCTCCATAGCGACAAATCAAATCTTTACCATCTTCCTGAAATTCCCGGCATCACACTTTCAGTGATGACCTTAACAGGCAAAAGAGAGAAGCCAATAGGCAGAACTTTCTGGGCTTCTTCCCCAAATGACCAATGTAACTGTATTCACACCTGTCCTTTTTCCTTTCCTCTAATCTCAAAGATCTGCACCTCTAGTTCATGACTAACCGACTCCCCACCCCAAAGTACTTTGGCTCTCAACTCAATCTAATTCTCCAGTGACCTCAGGTCATCATTCTCCCTTCCCTCCTGAACCCTAGTCTCTCCCACCCTGTTGATTCTTCCCCTTCAGCAAATATACATGTTTAAACCTTCCCCATCCTAAAACAAAACAAAACAAAACAAAACCAAAGACCAAAAGCAAAAAAACACTTGTTAGAGTCTCTTGACCCCTTTACCTACCTTATTTACATAATTTCCTATTCACTTTCATTAATATTTTTAAGCCCTGTCACATAAATAAAAAGTCTTATCAAGGTTCCTAATCATTATTTAGTTGCATTCTCATTCCTGATGGATATTTTATGGCAGTCACTCAAGGAAAAAAGCTGGAAATTTCTCTGTTTCTTTCCCTCACCTCCCATCTCCTAGGTTTAGCCACTGTATATATTAAAAATCTCACTCTTCTTCTCCCCTCTTGAATGATTTCCCTTCCTCCACTGGCTCCCTATTTCTGCCCATATCTCATATCTCTGCTAGATCTTTCTAAAATAGAAATCTAATCATATAATTCATTTGTAAAACTTTTAAGTGGTTCCCTAGACTGAATAAAAATATTTAAAATAACATAGAAGACTTTGTTTCATAATCTGTTTTCTAGTAATCTTTCCTAGTCTTAATTTTTAACTTATCACATATAATCCATTTCTCCCACTAGGCACAAGATATAGTTTCTGAAGATACGGTTTTCCGTTCCTGTCTGCCTTTGAACATGTTATCCCTCTAACTAGGCTATCAATGCCCTGCCTCTTCTTCTACTTCTTCCCACTGCCTTTACTCATCTGTCCAGATTCACCTGGAAATGTCATCCTCTGGGAAGTTCATTTTTCTATGTCCCCATGTCATCTGATGAAGTTAGATAAAAGTAATTTTTGATTTTCCTGCCATGTCTTTCATGAAACTATGAGCTACAAGTATCTTGTGAGTGTTCCTGCTTAATCTATATAATACTCTTGTTGCCAGTGAATTTATGAGAACAAAAGCAAAACCAGTGGTGACAAAGCTCAAAGGGACAGGGCAGATCCAAGCACAGGAAGTGAGGCTTGTTCTCACCCACAACCACAATCCAAAGTCCTGTGTACTCAGGGCAGTGTGACTTCATGAAAAGAGCATTGATTCGGGAGTCAGGAGACCTGAATTCTAGTACTGATTCTGATATTAACTAACGACTGTAGTTACATGATCTTGCTTAGTCATTTTCTTCTCAAACAGTCTATGTAATTCTAAGACTTACATGAGATAATATCTCTGAAAGTGCTGTATACTCACTAGAAGGTAGTTTCTATCTGAAGGGCTGGGTAAGATAGTATGGATGGAGCCGGGGCCTCTGCTCTGCACACCTCCAAGAGCAGTGCTTACATTGCAGTCTATGTGAACGCTGACCTGAAGTGGCATGGCTCCACAGCCCTGGATGTAGCCTTGGTAAACCATTGAAACATTGGAAATGAATGACAGAAAATGAGCATTATGCAATGCAGAGGCAGCATCCTTCTGCCTTCCACAGCTCTAAAGAAGGATGGGCCATACAGATAAAAGGGAAGGCCAAGGAGGAGAAAAGACTCACCAAGGTGAAATGGCAAATACACATAAAAAATAAGCTTAATTTTCCCTGTTGTGAAAGAGGCTTCTTCCCCTCTCACATTTGTTCTTAAAGTGTATTTCTTTAGAAAATTTGTAAACTCTTTGTCTCTTTGAAATGTCTGTAAAACTTTTTAAAAGGCTAACTAAATCTCTTGCCGCCTTTACAAACCAGAAATATCTTTCCCAAAGGAAGCCATTGCTTTGAAATGTAATCATCAAGGACATAGATGATTTCCTAGTCTTAATTTTTATCTTCTCCCATATAATCCATTTCTCCCACTAGGCACAAGATGTAGTTTCTGAAGATATGGCTTTCCATTCCTGTCTGCCTTTGAACATGTTATCCCTCTAACTAGGATACCAATGTCCTGCTTCTTCTACTTCTTCCCACTGCCTTTACTCATCTGTCCAGATTCACCTGGAAATGTCATCCTCTGGGAAGTTCATTTTTCT